AGAAGCTGAGGAGCAAATCCGGGGCTGTCAGTCAGTGCCACGGGGGGGGGGGGGGGCGGGGGGGGGGGTGGGGTGGGTGGGGGCTGCGTTTCCCTTCCCTGGAGGGCCTCGACCGGGCTAAATGGACGTCTGCCGGAAACAGCTCTTGCACTAACTAGTTATTGGACTAGATGGTCTCTAAGCTCCCTTCCAGCGCTCCAGATTCATGGGGAATGAAGGGGGCCCGTGATGGATTGAAAAGAAACCCCCTGCGCTGCCAAGTACCTTTGGCTCCCAGGCTGGGGCTTCTTGGCTCCCATTTTTTCTCGGTTCGCTTCGTACACCCTGTTTATGACACTGTTTCCCAATTCGCACATCAGCTGTGGGAAAATCACAAGAGAACCTCAGAGAGCCCCACCCTCTGCGCTGCCCCTTGAGGCCGGGGTGGGGGTGGTCGAGGCCTCCCGGACTCAGCTGTCCCTCCTTCAAAGGCCCTGTTGGCAGAATCCGAAAGGGGTGCCCAGGGGTGGTCTGGGCAGAGGGCCAGGCCTTAGCCCCCGACCAAGCCCCGGGACCCCTGCCCGTCCTCCCTGCTCTCCCCACAGAGAGGGTTACCTTCAAAAGCTCCGGCTCCCACGAATCCAGCGTCAAGGACCGGACCTTGGAGAAATGGACACCCAGGCTCCTACGGGGAAGGCAGAGGGCAACGGCTTAGGAGAGAGGCAGGGAAGGAGGGGAGCCCGACGGCCACTGCCCACTTGCCCACCTGTGAATGCCCGAGCACTCGATGCACAGTGTGATGCCGAGGTTGATGCTGGCCCAGCGGGGGTCTGCCAGGCCACAATCGCAGCACACCACGTTGCCGGCAATGGCCTGGACCCTCTGCAGGGAGCCTTCCCCCTTCAGCGACTTCTCTTTCGACTCCTGGCCGGACTCGGGGCTCCCCGTGGAGGGGGGGCGCTTCCTCTCCACCTGCAGAAGGAGCAGGAAGGTGCTGGGGCTGCTCCTCCTCCTCCTCAGCCCCTCTTCCCAGCTGCCCCCAAGGACTCGCCTCGTCCCAGGCCAGAGCCGGTGCAGAGCGCTCCGCTTATGAGCCCTGGGCGGCGGCGGCAGTAGCTAAGGGGGCCACTGAAGACCTCCAGAGGGACCGGGGCAGGGGAAGGCGGGCTTGGGAGGGGGATACCCACCTCAGCCTCCTCCCCCTTCTCCCTGTAGGCACTGGCGATGCTGGTCTGCACAGCCTGGATCCACGCTTGCCGCAGCTTCTCCGAATCGGCCTGCAGGATGCAGCTCCTGCATGAGAGAGCCACGGCCAGGTGAGTGAATGGGCCCTCCCGGGGGCCTGGCTTTTAGCAGCCCCTCCTCCCCCACCCCAATCAATCAGTCGAACCCCCAATTCACGCTGAAGTCCAAGCATTTTCCCAACACAATCCTAGCATTTGGGGGTGACATTAAGATAAAATGGGAAGGGATTCCTGCCTGTCAAAACTCCCCTCCCCCCATTTTTGGGAGGGGAGCGAAACACTGATATTCAGAGACTGTGGGGGATGACAGATGGGAGGGGGCTTCTTGCAGAGTTAGAGGTCCTCTGATCCGGCTAAAGGAAAACTGGACGGGGGTTTTGCAAGTGGCCAATGTGTGCTTTCAAAAAGTGAATTCAGCAAGCAAGCCATGTGTGGAGGAGCCCCTGGCTGTTCAGGGAGTCCCCTCTCCAATTCACAGGGAAATCCGACAGCCGGGTGACTCCATCTCCCATCCTCCCCGGCCAGAGGCCTCTGAGGAAGGGCCCCCCCAAGGGAGAGGCCCGGGGAGCTCCCGCCCGAGCCCTCCCACTCACTTGGTGGGGGACACCACTTCGAAGCAGAAGCGCCTCTCCAGGTCCTCGCAGGGCTTCACAGTGCACAGACGCAAGTCTTCAACCACCACGGTGGGCGCATCCTGGGCGGGCGGGGGNCGGAACCGGCTGGCTGGACCGGGAGCCGCTCGGGAGGCCGCCGAGGGACCGAGCTGCGGGAGCGAATGGCAGGAATCGCCCTGCCTGCGGTGGCTGCTGGCTTCAAGCGGGGAGTCCTGGGGTTTCCCGCGTGGCCAAGAGCCCGTGGCGGCTGGAGGGAGGGAACGCGCTTCCCCGCCCACCTCCAGCCTCTCCCGGGCCTTCGCGAGAGGCCGCCTGCTTCCTCTCCACGGAAGGGCACCGGATGGGGGTGGGAGGCTCTCTCGCTCCCAGTGCGGGGACGGAGGGCGCCCCGGGGACTCTCCGAGCCCAGCACCGGGAACTGCTTCGGGAAGGGCAGGCGAGGAAACACGGGGAGCGGGGAGGAGCTGCAAGTAGAAAATGCCAGCCTCCAAAGGAACCCGGGCAATGCCAGTCCCAGGAGGCTCCCGTAGGACACAGGGCAGCCCCCGTGGGCGCAGAGGCCTGGGCTGCATCCCCCACTTCGCCCAGGAGACGATTGGGGGATCTTGCCTTTTCCAGGCGTCTGGTGCCCCAAAACCTTCCCCAGGCACATTCACTCTGCAAGGATCAGCTGGGAAAGTGGGTCCTGAAGGCCAAGGGTCCACTTGGAGGGAGGAGCCCCCTCCCATCCCAGAAGAGGCCGAGCCTGGTTCCCTCTTGCCCCGGAGGGCAGGGCCAGGAGCCCAGGCGGTGGAAGCCCAAGGAAGGAGCCTTTGGAGGGACCCACTGGACAGGGGACAGGCTTCCCCACGAAGCGCTGGCTTCTTTGCTGGAGGGCCCTCCGGGGGCCCCTCCTTCCCACTCCGGGACGCCAGGCGGGCCCTTTGGCACAGGAAGACTCCTGCCCCTCCCGGCTGCTCAGTCTTTGGGGAGAAGCCCCCCCGGCAGGGCTCCCAGCCTCCTCCTCCACCCAGCCCCATCGCAGAACAATCACACGGATGATGCGGTTGAAGCAGATTTATGTATAAAAAGGGGGGAGGGGGGGTACAGGAGGGGGTGG